TCATCTGACTCATTGATCAAAGATTAAGACTACAGCTCCATTTTTGCCAAATATTGCGAGGAGAAGAATAGTTAGAAAACCGTTTCATCTCGTCCTTTGCTATGACAAGCAATATTCGTCGGAAAACACGTAGCTGATTTCAGCGCCAACAGAAGCGGTCAGCGGACTTCCAGGCTTTAAAGAGGTGTGCAAATCTATTGCACTTTACTAACTGAGTACGGTAGAGACGCAGGGATCCCTCAGGAAGCATCGGATGAGTACGGAACTATACTCATTTGCAAACAAAATTGGTTTTGCGAGAGACTCAGCTGAAACTCGGCATTACAAATATACATGTATCGCAATATCTTGAATATCGTAGTAACTAAGATATGAAGCGGCCTGATGCATCAAATTCGGTTGCCTGGAAACATCACAACCGAGGGATTCAGCTGAGTTTCAGATGAGTCTGTCGCAAAACCAAATTTGGTTTCTAATTTCGTACAATTTGGTTTCATGTAGAACCTAAGGTTGACGGAAACTCGGGGACTGCGCTCACCTGATGAGCCCCAAGAAGGGCGAAACCGGTCGTGGGTTGTCGGCAAATTTTCAGCAACCTTATGAATAGTTGATTGCAAATATAAATATCAAAAGGTTTTAAAAGCCCAATTCTTGACAGTTGGGTTGTATGAGAACCATGTGCAGAAGTATGTGAATTTTCGCACCAAAAAGGCAGCTAAAATAATTGACTGACAGTCAGGCTTCTGAGCAGCTGGGTCAGGTACTATCCTGCTAAGACTGCCAAGCGACACGCAACCTCAGGCCCAGGAGGGTCAACCTGAATTCTGTCCCGATCTCATTGCACCAAACAACACCAATGAGTCACCAAAGTATGAAGATCACCTCTGTATAAGTCGAAAGCTGCGCTTTATGAAGGTGGCTTATTCAGGCTAGTATTTACCACTTTGTCTAACCTTTCCTGCAATTTTTTCCGAGCACCCATGAAAGCTCGAGGGTTCATGGAAAATGCTATTCCGCCTCGAGGCCAACGATCATTTGTCTACATGCAGTTTGGGCAAAAAGAGGATTTAGACAAGCAGCGGACAAATCCGTCAATTCTGAACCGAATTCGCGGCGTTAGGAGGGTTTCCGTGTTCATTAGGACAAAGAGTTAATGCCCTGCATACTAGGTTCTGGGTAGTGATGGAATCTTATTTCACCCGACTGAACAGCCGGACCATTGGATGTCGGCGAAGTTTGATCAAACTCTAGTGTTGATTGCAAGGAACCCTCCAAGGAGGTATTTGCTAAGGCCGTGATTTGTCATCGTGTGTTTTCACTTTCCTGGTTGTCTATTGCGTTGGATTCCTTCTCCAGAAAAAGGTAGGCTCTTCAGACGATGCCAGAGTACAAAACGGCGCCTAAAGTGCACCGTATGATCTCACCTATTTCATCATGTATTTCGATAGACGACTTTCATTTCCGCGGTAAATTCTTATCACAGGTCTGGTATGGGAATCATGAAAGGTGATTGTAGCATATACAATGAGCGATGTGTCCGACCAACTCAGCTTAGTAATGCTGCTTAGCATTTGTAGAACTGATGGATGGTGAGACCCGGAAGTCACCTTCATTTTTCTGCTTTTGGACATCTCTGAAATCACCGGTATATATGTGACAGGTATGAGAGTAAACCCTCTGTCTGATAAAGCAGGTTTCCTTTGAAATTACTTTGCAAAGTAAATCTATGCTGAAAAGCCGCGATCCACTGTACAGCTATTTCATCCACATTGGAAATTATCAGCGGAAACTACGGGAAGTTTGGAACTTGTTCCCTCCGGGTCAGTAGGTTGTACACAATCTTTCGGCCACGAGCAGCTGAGCAGCCTCTCACGTTTCGAGTATACTTCACTTCTGAGCAATCGTCACTCGACGAGCAAGTCAGTATTTGACCACGTGACCACGAAGTGTGTTGATTCGGTGATTGAATGACGCTACATTTTGTCTGAATGCGAGTTAATCATACTGCGGATTAGCGGCTGGTGGCCGTAGGGTTAAATGTTCAACCACTAGCCGAAAGGTCGCTGTTTCGGAACATCCTACTGAGATACAAACTGCTGATGATTCCAACAAAGGAAGAAACAGGCGTACCGCTTTTTAGCATGAATTGGTATCACCTCTAGGAGAAAAACTCAACTGAAGAGTTTTGAGTATATTCACATCCAAAGAAGCGAGTTTCTACAGGGGTACCTTAATTTGCGCAGCAGCAAAGCAAATACATCTCTCATGCCACATCTTGGCGTCGGACGTTTACTGCATTGATGTTTCGAGGTTGACCATTATATGGTCATGCTTGGAGGCTGGCGGAGCTTCTTTACCTACCTGCTCATTGATTCTTAATCACTAAGGTGCGTTTTCCGCCTTGACATGGCCGTTCTGTGTTTAGCCTCTGATGTCTTCCTCACACATACCGCTCAACTCCTGACGACTCCAACAAACGAATGTGCGTAATTTATTGAAACTGGTTTCAAGCCTCATTTGCACATCAGTTTGGTTTTCACGAGAGACTCAACCGAACCTCTCGTTTATGATAGTCTACAACCTAATGTGCTGCACACAGGCCGCCTCCTGATTCAGTTGGCACTATATTCGAGATATCGCGCCTGTGTGCAGCACATTCAGTTGTGGGATATCATAAACGAGGGATTCAGTTGAGTTTCTCGTGAGCACCAAATTGACGAAAACAGTCCAATTTGGGTTTAAGTAGAACATAAGTGTGACGGAAACTCGGGAACTGCGCCTACCTGATGAGTCTCAAGAAGGACGAAACCGGTCATGGGCTGTCGAAGAGTTTTCAGCAACCTTGGTTTTAAGCCTATTAACTGTTTAGACTCAAATGGGAGTACATTCTCTACGCACACGTTTGACTGGTTCGGATAAGCGCTTCAAAAACTCACCTGATCCCACTGCAATTGATATATCCTTGAGTTGGATTGAATTAGTGGGTTCGATCGATTTTCAGTGTTTTCCGTATACCTGATAGCACAAATAGTGGGAAATAAAGCCGCAAACATTTTGTAAAAAAAGGTAAAAAATATAACCAATCAGCTGTAACACTTTTTTGGTACTTGGCTGTCATGCCACCCGCCGAAGAAAGTACAAGGTCTGGGATACTGCCAGGCTTCTAAAGCTCAGTCAGGAGAAGTCGTGAGGCAGAGGTCGGGTTCAAACCACGGACCTTCCGGCCCGTAACTTCTAAGGCATCTTTACGAACAATAAATCAAGTATATCTCATGTTCTTATAATGGCATTATTAGGTGACCATGAATAATGGGCGGAACTACGATCAAGTCTTATTTATACAGGTAACTTAACAACATCTTAATTTGGTTCTGTACTAGTTAATTTGTTTGTGAAATATTGCATTTCGGTTAAAATGTCTAAATAACAACACCGAAAATGGAGTTTCAACCCATTAGTAATACAGAATTCGGATGTAATAAACACCTGTACAGTAGGTGACATTAAATACAGTCTAGGTAGTCGAACATTGGAAACGGATGTTTCACCCTTTGTTTGCTTTCAAAATAACGTTCTGACTTCTTGTTTTGTACGGGACTGATCGGTTTAAGGCTGTCTAAATAACCGAAAATGGAGTTTCAACCCATTAGTAATACAGAATTCGGATGTAATAAACACCTGTACAGTAGGTGACATTAAATACAGTCTAGGTAGTCGAACATTGGAAACGGATGTTTCACCCTTTGTTTGCTTTCAAAATAACGTTCTGACTTCTTGTTTTGTACGGGACTGATCGGTTTAAGGCCAACCCAAGTCTTGTGTCTACCGTGGGGAAGAGGAGACTGCGTGAATAAGAGAAACCGGTTTTCGTAATGCGCTACTTGATTCATGCAGCATTCGGTCATTCCTTCAAAGAATTGACTTCGAATGCCACTAATTTTGGTCATACGTTAGACGTTATCGCCAAAAACAAAATACAATCGTTGTACAAACTTTGGGCTCACTCAAGACGACGTTATCATGGTTATAACTTCCAACGTTCCACGTTCGTTGTGCTAACTTGAACAGGGCATGACTAGGTATGACGCACATCGTTAAACAAAAGCACGCCTCACCTCGCATGTCAAATGTCCGGGGTTCGAATCCCGGTACGGCCACTGGATATGCACTGCCGATGATCTCTAATAAGAGCGAAACTCGAGCCCAGTGATTCTCTTCGGTGTGGATTCACCGGAATAATTACGCCAGAACAGGAACAGAGCCGTTCAAACGAGAGTGGTGTGACTACGAACAAGAAGATTGGTTTTCAAGATAGAAATCCGAGGACATACGCTCAGGCGTATGTGCGAAACACATCAAGGCTAATCGGACCTCTGAGTATCTCGCGTACTACAGTGGCATCCTCGCTTACTTTATGTTTTGTCCCGTACGGTGCCACCCGCGACCGTTCCGCTCCGCTTGTTTTTCAGAGTAGAAAAGGACTTGCATTCCTGAAAAGTAAGTGACAGATTTCGGATATGGATTCAATGGGGAGCAAGTCTGACATTCAAGATGTTCGGGAGAACATCCACGAAACATCAACTGAATAAACCGTTTGTGACACCAAAGGTGAAAATATCGGTTAGTTAAGATGACCTCTGCCTTTCATGCATACACCACATGTCTTTGGACTCTTGTATTCACTTACGATAGTTTGTATTTATAGACAATGTACTCCATATCATAAGCTTATGGGCGGTTAATTTAATGTGCATCAATTGGACATACACAGATGATTCGACAGACAACAACTAAGGCTTTGAATGCATACCGGGATTTGATGAAATCGTCTGTCAAAAACGTCCTATTCTAACCGAAATAATGTCAAATACACATCATTAGCACAGTTGATGTATACGTGTGTGCACGTAACATCCAGAAGACGAGTTTTGTCAGGACGCACCCAGACATGGGAAAAGTACATGTGCAGAGAGTGACGCATTCTCAAGATCACCATCGGTACGACATGTCCGGAAAGCAGGTGCGTTGGCGGAGCCCACCAAACACGGCTTAGCAACATACGACCAGCGGAGTGGGCCTGGAGGTGTTCACGACCGGAACACCGCCATTGACTGTACCGAACGAACACGTGAGCGATCATATTTGGCCGTTTAGTCATCCTATATATTTACGCAGAGCTCTGTACGTTTTGACAATACAGCTGTGTCCCAAGTTCTCCGTCTTCTCCTTATCGCGTAGTCTGACAGGCTCAGTGCAGGCGTAACCAATAGACGGCCACTAACGATACAGGTTTGTGGATAGTTTTTCAGGTAGATAGCCACAACATTCATGATTGATTTGCTCACTAATTTGACATTTTATCCGTTCAGTTTCCGGTGCTGGACGCTGTTGAATCATAACTTGTGGTAGCAAGCCTATCAGACGATTCTCAAGCATAGCTGCCTGACCAATTCACTCCAAACTACCGTGTGAATAGTTGTCAGTCGGGCCAACTATCGGTTGATCGATGAAATCTTTGAGTTGGCAATGGCGACAGAATGCATCTCACTAAAACACACATGGGTTAACACAAGGAGTCGATAGCCATGTTGCTCTGAGGCCAAGATTATGTGGCTTCTTGGAGACATGACGTACGATTGAGTCTCGTACGGCTAGGCTTTTCGGGAATAACTCACACCCAGTTGGACTTCCTGTCCTCGGTTTTATAATCACATGTTTTCTATTTGAGGTTCAGGCTGAGCGGGTGGCCAGATTGTCTAAGTGGCGTAGAAATTTTGCAATATCAGTAGTGCAGTTAATTCAGTAGTAGCTATTCGTCTAATAATCTGTCAGTTATGGATCAAGTATACAGCGGATCACACGAAAATAACGGAATGCCTGAACGGTAGTGTCGCTGAACCCCGTTTAGGTTAGGGTGAATCACACAGGTGTGTTCATCCACTCAGGCTTAACTATTCATAAGGTGCGCGCAACGAATAAAACAATTATTCAGTATTTCATACTAAACAATACTTCCTTACACGGTAAAACCTTCCTCTGACTACTCATCACTGGTCCAATCGGCGCTGAGATTCCTAGTCCATCAGAACTGAACGTAGTTTATTCAACCTACCCTTCTTGTATAGACTCTCCTTCTTGGAGAAGTTGACGATCACAAAACGGTACTGGAAACCGGGAATCGCATTCCGAATTGCAAAGTAAAACCACTGCACGTGTCTGTTGGTATTCAAATCTGGACTGAGTAGCAGTTCATATTCGAACATACCACTAAAACAAAAACGGGAAAAAAGAGACAGATGGATAGAAGTGGAGGTGAACGCAAGCGAAATGGAGTTTCGGAGGAAAGTTGAACAAATATGAGTGCTTTGTGTGGGAAGCGGTCGTTTCTGTCCAAATTGAGAATGTTCTTTTACAAGTGAATGAAACAAGAAGGTTGTTCCCCAATTAGAATGTCACACACCTCACCCAGATGATGAAGGTCCATCCAAAACACCCAGAATGAGCCTAATACCCGTGAATAGCTGTCAGATGCTCCAAGAGTTTCCTATAATATAGATTAGGAATCTTTGAAGCGCTTAATTGATGTGAATATCTGAACCTCAAAAATACCTTGCTCAACAACAACGCATCTAGCCAATAAACAGGAGCTTCTTGTACCAAATGGTGATTGCAACCATGGGATTGCACCACGTAACCTCCGTTTTTACTTAGAAAGTGTCTCAAGCGAGGGTGTGGTCAATCCACAACGAAATGGCTCAAGTGGTTGGAACGCGAATTTACTGACCGGAAGGGCCATGGTTCGAACCCGACCCTCGTCTGTCGACTTCCCGTGTCTAGGCTTGAGCAACCTGGCAGTATCTCAGCCCTCGTGCTTCCTTCGGGTTGCATGGCAGTTAGGCACTGACAGGGTGCTACAGCTGAACGATTATTATATTATTTATTTAGGCTATGATTTGGACTTAAGTCAGACTGAGAGCGTTTCCAAATGGATTGTAAACCAGGGATTTATCTCTCTCGATGTTTCTTAAGGATCGAACCTAGAGGTATAGAGATCAATCCTGGGACCAAAGGTTTTAGACTCGAATAATTCTACCAGTAGCGTGTAAAGATTTTGTCGTGTAATTAGAGCCTCCTCATGCCAAAGACCCAAAAAGCACTACACAGTTGCTCCATCCTCATTGTGAATCATCAGTAATTCTCATCTGTGTATAGATCCCGGTCCTTCCAGTCTAGTGTGTCGAGCACTTAATAGTTCGGTCACGGGCAGTGTGATCGAATCGCACTTAGACAAGATATGCCTTCATTAGGGAAATTACTCACAAGGTTCCTGAAAACTCTTCACCATGACTTCCTTCATTATCCAGTCACGGGATCCACATTAAGTGGTGTTAACTTGATCCTTGAATGAAATTTTTAACCTATTGCACGGACTATCCTAGCTCCGAGCTACTTAAAGTGTGAGCAGATGCGGGAATAAATGGGATGCATCTTGACAGAGTACTCCGAAGAATGATGAGTTCGGTTTAGTGACTGTTGCATCTCCGACAATGAACGCGTCTTCAGGATGGAGTTAGTAACAAGAGTATCCCGAGATCGGCGTGAGCTTATTCTATCCATAAATGCAGCACGAAAAAAATTGGAGTGCATCACTTCCCCGTGTCCTCCGCAACCTATATGGAATAAGTAGACTTGAAGATGAAAACACTATATTTTTTATTCTCATCGGTAAGAAGTACACAGCCATTGTGTTTGCAAATTACCTGGAAAGATGTTAATTTGTCGAAGTGTAGGTAGCTGGGATATGTTTACCAGCAGTCGATCAGATGGTAGTTGATCTGTTCACCAAGCCTGACAATAGGCTTGCAAGTGTTTCGTCCCCAGTCAAGGAGACATCGTCAATGCTTTCTCCATGCCTAGCTTAATTTATATAGTTTTTGAGGAGTATCTGATACCGTGTCATGTGATTGGCTAACTGGTATATACCTTTCCTAGGGTATTATTGGCCCGATCGTGAGTTGCGCTGCGTTGTGGTCTGTATGCCTCGTAAATTACTGATTGGTTGGACGGTTGTTTTGGCGTGTTTCAGGTTCGTTTTTGATTGGTCCATTCCCGGTTCGCGTTGTGCTGTGGTCTTCCTTTCTTGAATTTGGTTGGTTGTGATGGCGGTTTCTATTAGTGGTCGTTGTTTTTCTTCAGCTTAATTCAGCCTAAAGGTATGTACCAATTAGCCGATTAAATGACAGGATATTCGGCACTTTTCACAAGCTATATAACCGCAGCTATGAACGGAGAGAGCACCCACTCAACTGCTCACTGACGATGTCTTCTCGAATGGGGACAAGTCAAATGTCAAGCTTGGCAAACAGATCAACTACCATCTGATCGAACATGACTACCTTAAAAGGCGTTATTGGTGGATAGTTAGATATTGCTTGGCGTAATGCCCTACAACGAGATAAAACCTAGCAGGTTATGGAAATTCCAGTTCCACTGGACTGACTGTGAATATAGAAAAAAACAAAAACGGTGATCACACTGCACATGGTTTTAGGCTTTCCTTTTAAAGCAACCACCACACATTTTAATGATGGAAGAAAGCCATCTGCCAGATGATTGACTGACAAAAGTCATCGGCTGCTGTAACGAAATTGAGGTCTACAGCATGGGTTGTAGGCTTATTGTTTCTGTTTTCTGGTTTTACTATTTATCTACTCGCTTTCTGGAAAGGTGAGCCATTGCGTGCTTCCGTTCCTATCGGGATTCGTCGGATGATCGTAAAAACATTCGGTCAAATCAAGGATCAGCTATCATCGTTCCCGCTTTCCTCAACGGTATAAAAAGACCTGAAAACAGGGAACGATTGTGTAGAGAACTTAATAAATCCGGTCCTCAAGTTCCCTTAGTTGCATAAGTAGTTTGGGTCATTTCAGTCAAACTCAAGCTAACGCCGTCACCATGGTAGTGAGAGCTCAGAAGAACAAAGGCATTTTATTGACTAATGCTATCTGATCAGTTCAATACTAGCAATAAATATATGAATAATGACAATGAAATAATAATTGATTATAAGTAGCAAGCTTTTGATGTTTGGCTGTGAGGCCATTTGTAGGACGCATGAGGACTGAGATACTACCGGGCTGCCCAGGACTAAACAACCCGAGTCGAGGCAGAGGCTGGGTTCGAGCCACGGACCTTCCGCCAGGTGATTTCGCGCCTCAGCTACTGCGGTAACTCGCGCTCTTAACCATCCATGATACAGCAACTGTCTTCATCACAATAGCCGGCCGAGAAAACACAGCTAACTAATTAGCTAAACAGATTCCCCAACCTGGGGGTTAAACCTGCTAACCATATAAGTCTCCCATGGGCCTGATACACACCTATACAAATACACTGTCTCAAAAGTCCTGTTTGATATCTATTTTATAAGCTGTCACGTCCAGAACCCAAAAAGGATGAAACCGTTGCATTGATTGGCCTTACCCAAGAAAAAATCGTTCAGCTGTAGCGCCCTTCCGGTGCCTAGCTGCCATGCCACCCGAAGGAAGCACGAGGGCTTGGATACTGCCAGGTTGCCCAATCCTAGACAGGGGAAGTCTATGGGCAGAAGTCGGTTTCGAACCACGGACCTTCCGGTCAATAAATTCGCGCTCTAACCACTTGAGCAATCTCGCTCACAGAACCAAGTATCCTTTGCAAACATCCATAGATGTTGGCCTAAAATGTACGAAACTGTGCACACAGAGAAACTACCTGATTGTGTACACTTGAGCGATGTTCACCACTTGTAATATGTAGCATACTTGTTGATGTGCACTGAGTATTCTCTGACAATGAAGGTTCAACACGGTAACAAATTAAGTAAGAATAGTAACCATGATAATCGTAGTATGAATAAAGACGGCCTGTGACTCACATCCTCCTGGCCTGTCTCAAGTTTCCACACTCGAACCTGGATTCAAAAACTAGGCTTGGAGGAATCCAGCTGACAAACTGACGGGGATTCCCCAGCTGTGAACTCATTCCCATCGCCTCAAGCATAGCGGACGTCCAACGTGCGCTTGTCTCGCGGTCGTACACCACTTGTGGCACGAACCAGCTTGAAATCAAGCACTNAAAAACATTCGGTCAAATCAAGGATCAGCTATCATCGTTCCCGCTTTCCTCAACGGTATAAAAAGACCTGAAAACAGGGAACGATTGTGTAGAGAACTTAATAAATCCGGTCCTCAAGTTCCCTTAGTTGCATAAGTAGTTTGGGTCATTTCAGTCAAACTCAAGCTAACGCCGTCACCATGGTAGTGAGAGCTCAGAAGAACAAAGGCATTTTATTGACTAATGCTATCTGATCAGTTCAATACTAGCAATAAATTTGTGAATAATGACAATGAAATAATAATTGATTATAAGTAGCAAGCTTTTGATGTTTGGCTGTGAGGCCATTTGTAGGACGCATGAGGACTGAGATACTACCGGGTTGCCCAAGCCTAAACAACCCGAGTCGAGGCAGAGGCTGGGTTCGAGCCACGGACCTTCCGCCAGGTGATTTCGCGCCTCAACTACTGCGGTAACTCGCGCTCTTAACCATCCATGATACAGCAACTGTCTTCATCACAATAGCCGGCCGAGAAAACACAGCTAACTAATTAGCTAAACAGATTCCCCAACCTGGGGGTTAAACCTGCTAACCATATAAGTCTCCCATGGGCCTGATACACACCTATACAAATACACTGTCTCAAAAGTCCTGTTTGATATCTATTTTATAGGCTGTCACGTCCAGAACCCAAAAAGGATGAAACCGTTGCATTGATTGGCCTTACCCAAGAAAAAATCGTTCAGCTGTAGCGCCCTTCCGGTGCCTAGCTGCCATGCCACCCGAAGGAAGCACGAGGGCTTGGATACTGCCAGGTTGCCCAATCCTAGACAGGGGAAGTCTATGGGCAGAAGTCGGTTTCGAACCACGGACCTTCCGGTCAATAAATTCGCGCTCTAACCACTTGAGCAATCTCGCTCACAGAACCAAGTATCCTTTGCAAACATCCATAGATGTTGGCCTAAAATGTACGAAACTGTGCACACAGAGAAACTACCTGATTGTGTACACTTGAGCGATGTTCACCACTTGTAATATGTAGCATACTTGTTGATGTGCACTGAGTATTCTCTGACAATGAAGGTTCAACACGGTAACAAATTAAGTAAGAATAGTAACCATGATAATCGTAGTATGAATAAAGACGGCCTGTGACTCACATCCTCCTGGCCTGTCTCAAGTTTCCACACTCGAACCTGGATTCAAAAACTAGGCTTGGAGGAATCCAGCTGATGAACTGACGGGGATTCCCCAGCTGTGAACTCATTCCCATCGCCTCAAGCATAGCGGACGTCCAGCGTGCGCTTGTCTCGCGGTCGTACACCACTTGTGGCACGAACCAGCTTGAAATCAAGCACTCTTCCGGATCGCCTGTGACCTGAAGTTTTGCAGTGGCTTGGGAGATACGCAACAGCGAGTCTACAAAGCATCATTTCCGTCAGATACATAAGGTAGGTAAAAACTTTCAAGGTGGCTTGATTTCCTGAAGACTGAAAAATCTCAAGGGATATCAGTGCACGGTAATACATACTTTTCGGAAGCGCCGCTAGTGCGACAAACATTTCGGTTTTCAAGGCATGTTTCCAACTACTTTCCATTAGTGTGTAATGATTTTTTCCAGTCCACTGGACTCAATGCTCTGGTTATCTTACAGCAAGTACGATTGTGTCATGAGCAACATCATCATCGAAAACATTTTATCAAACTTAGTCAGTTTGTCTTGTGGACCACAGTCGTCCTATTGCCTTCTTATTACCATGAACTCCGGTCTGGATAGCCGGCTGATAGCCCGGTGCGCACGGCCAAACCAGAAACAAAATCAATAAACGTGCGAACTGGCTGATCTTATCGATCACTGTCGCGTACAAGTGGGTCAAGGAAGTGATACTAAGGATACAACTCATCTGTCATGGGCGACTGAAGAACAATCAATGAAATCTGTCTCAAGGAAAACGGTCATTCCATTGGCTGTCATGTAGTCCCGTTACGTTCGGAGTTGGTTCACCTAGTAAGTTGAACGATATAATGCAACCTAGTAAGTTGAATGATATAATGCACCGTTGGAACACAGGTCCTATACGTTTTGACTGAACCTAGTTTCTAGATTCTCTCTGTCTCTCTGGTCTTTATTGAAATTGACGGTTGTTTCCGGACGCCTCGCGTGTGACCTTGAACCAAGGCAAATCATATTATATAGGGTGAGAAGTCTTGAAAGAATGAGCTGTTTGAGCCCACCAGTCGACTGGTGATCGCCGAAAAATGACCTAGAGGTTTGCAATGCAATCCTTCCTTTTTAAAGGTCGAATATATTTTAAGAACCACACATCTGATGGGGAAAACGAAGTGTGTACTGATGATGATTCTTTCTGTAGAAAAACGAGTCGACTTGACCTTGCAGGAAGAGATAAACATTTCAAAAGAATCTTTCAGAAGAAAGGCCCTTAGCTTTATCTTGGAAAGTACCACTGTAGATTTTCAACATCAGCACGCATAATGTGAAACCCGTTACAAGAATGAATGCAGTTTGCTTCTTCGTGACCATCCTAAACGGGAGATTCAGCTGAATTCAGTTGAACTCACGTGCAAATAAGAGTACTTGTGGAAAGCTGTATGCAATTTGAGGTAAAGTAGAACATAAAGTTGACAAAAAATATGGCAATGCACCTGTTTAACGAAGCAGCCCATAGAATTTCGGTCGAAACCGGCTGTGGGCTGTCGAAGAGTTTTCAGCAACCTTATGAGTAGTGCGTTCCGTCTAGACATCAATCTGAGTCTTCCGCTAGCATCAAGTTAACTGGCAAACGCATGTATTAAGCCGCTTATTATTAATAAGGGTTGATGGGAACTCAGAACCTCGGTACACCTGATGAATCCAAAGAATGAAGAAACAGGTATTGTTTCCTTCTAAGGATTTCCACCAGCCCTATGGGAGTGTTTTCTCACTAAAGTGTCGACGTTTTTTCCGATGGATATGATACGATTGAATAAGTACTGACCACGATTAGTGAACCACAATAGTGTGATATTTCGCTGTTTCCGATTTCCCACTTAATGAATGAAATACTACTGAAATTACAAAGGTAATTCCAGTTTGAAATCCTGGGGTTACCGTGGCAACTCTAGAAGTCAGACAGCTATTTTTACTCACAGTTTGCACTGACGTTCTCTGTTTCATCTTTCTTCTCAGAGTTTGGGCGTAGGTGTATTGGGGCCGGATAGAGTGGTCCTAACCCATTGGGCCAAAATGGTCCATGAATATCTCTTGTCACACCAGTCCAATCGCTTAAGACCGGAACTTGTCTAGCCTCTTTTGATTGCCAGTCATCTGCTTCTAGATGATTTGATTCGTCCTCAATAGTTGGACTCCCATCTGAAGAATAAAACTTCGTTCCAGAATCCGTTGACAACAGTTGGTTTTGACGTCCCTGATTGTTCACCCAGTGTTGATCGAAGCCGCCAAGTTTCATCTGAGTACCGTCCGGTAGCGTGGTGTGACTGTTCGTCGTAGCCACTAAATACGCAGCCCTGGTGGCGCTAAAGTAGAAAAGCTGAAAATAAAAGCAACGGTCTAGCCGTGAAGGGAAGAAGGCCTTAGATACGGAGTTATTTATTAGAAAATGCCAACTAAACCGTTACAGGCTATTGGATAAGGAAGCAGAAACTGTCATGTGCACCTTGTTTACAAAGACTAAATATCCATATTCTCCTTGAACGCGTCTTCCTGAACTTTCCTGGATATTCACTGACTGTCGCTCAAATTCAAGCAAATGCGACTCAACAAGTTACGTAATTGATCTCACTTTTCAAGAGACGCAAAGCCCGCAATCAGTAGTATCACTGTTACACCGACGTGGCAATCTTATAGACGGAATAAGCGTCTTGAACAGTGACTCTTTTGGCTACTCCACTCTCTTTCCCGGTTGTAGTTCTTTTTGACCAGAACAACTTTAGTGAAAAAAATTAACTTAGTGTGAGATTTGGGTTTTTGTGGAGATTTTGTCCTGTAAGTTAAGCCAATCTATACTGAAATGCTGGAAAGCACTGTTAACTGTTTTGTACTTGAATGAAACACCTTAAGACTGGCAAATCAACCACATCGCTGAAACCTGTTCAAACGCGATGATTTGGGCACTTCCAGTGCGTGCTAGTGGAGTTCAAGTAACATGCTGTCCTTTCATGTCAAATATTTGGATATGCACTATTGATAATCTCTAATACGACGAAAACTCGTGTTCGGTATTTCCTATTCGGTCCGACAAGAAGAAGTAGGCCAGGACAAGAGGGGAATCGTTCAAGCGAGAGTGATGTGAACTCGAACTGAGTTTACATCTAGAGCAGTTAACATTTTGCCGAGACAAAATGCGCTTATCACGCTTGTCACCAATTGTCGCGGACCACAGTCCCCTTAATGCTTCCTTATTACCGTTGACCCCGGTCTTGATAGCCGCCTGATTGCGTGGGGTGCTTGGCCAAACCAGAAAAGTCAACGAACGTGCGAGCCAGCTGATCTATTGATCCCTGTCGCGTACAAGCGGGTCAAAAGAGTGATACTAAGAATGCAACTCATCTGGCAAGGACGAGTGAAGAAAAACCAATGAAATCTGCCTTAACGAAAACGGCCTATTCCATAGGCTGTTATATTATATAGTTCCGTTCGGAGCTGGTTCCCCTAGTACCTACATGTATTAAGGCTAATCTACCACTGCCGTGCCTGTCCAGTTCAGGAATGGGAAAGTACAGTCAACTTCTGGGTAGACCTGGTTGTGGACCATCGGTTGAAGCATATTTTGACCGTACTTTCGGCAGCTACAAAGCTCGTGATTTACTGGCCTGCTGGAATAGCTTCAGTGATGTAGAGAAAGTAAAGTGTGCGGAGCTATGGTAATAACCAACTGAGATTTTTCCCTGTAAGTAAAGCCACTCTATGATGAAAAGCCGAAAAGCACTGTACAGCTGTTTCGTCTCACGGCAGAATTGCCAGCCGTTCGCATTCAGAGAATCTTGAACTCGAAACCTCCCGCTCAGTAGTTTGAACACTTAACCGTTCGATTACCAGTGTCTTACAAGCAGTGCCGTTACCGCGCACTTCGGTAGGATATGGTGCCGCTCATGCTTAAATCACGGAATCCACATCACGTGGACACATGCTGATTGGCTCCTCAAGTGATGACTTCTCAGATGAAGGTTTCACCCATAAAGAAATGTGGGAAAACCACTGTTTCCTCCTCGCCATTCACTTGTTTGAGGATGTGTGATGAGAAACCTTGTGTTGTGAAGTTAAACCACACAAATTATTGTTCCCTCGAGCTGTAAGAAAGTCGTTTAGAGTGAAGTGTACTTGAATTTCTCAGAGAATTAATCAGCGAAAATGTGCTACATACATTTCATTATTATCTGTAATTGTGGATGTGTCATTTTCACCCAGCACCACCAGAAACGAAGCCTATTTCAAACGGGTAAAATGACGGTAACTAACAGACTCACCTGTTTTTCCTCTCGTGTCAGCTGTTGAAGCCTTTGTAATAGGGCTTGCCTGGTGGTCCAGTTGAAAGACGTTCTCTTCGTCGCAGCAAAACGCTCGATCTCCGTCATAACCTCTTTGTCTGTATCGGTGAATAAAGAGCCGAAATCCTTTGACAACCTATACACCTCTGGTACAGCTGACGCGTCCCATTCAAAGCAAAACGGGTCACCGGTGACTTGGCGGTTTGATGATATGTGCCAGCTGAGACCGTCGTATTCTGTGTCACACAAGCAGCTTAAGATGGACCCAACCGACCTCGGGTAGCCTGAACTCTCACGATTGGTTTCCGGGGGTTCTCCAGTCAGCCAATGAGAACACGTGCCTATCGAAAATCTTCTTCGCTGCAGTACGGCTTTCGTACGCTTTGTAATCTCGCTGATTGATGAGTTTGAAGGAGCACAGGATAGCCGATCAACCTGAATAGATGTCTGGGACAGCTTTTCTGGATTGATTGCTCGACTCTCATCACTTCGTAACGTATCGGACTCTGATTCTGTGCTGTCAATTAGCTACAACAAAGACATCCATAATCAACATCAGCAGTATGGTGAATGTTCGGGCATGGTTATGTAGCGACCGGCAGAATTGACATCAGCCACACCCGCTCTATATAGGTAGTTACAGCTCAAGTCATTTACCCAGGACCTGTCAAATTAGAGTCCATTTGAGATGATAGAATTATGTGGGGGTTTTGCGGGAGGTGTATTGTTCAGCTTCACATCAATCTCGTTTTGAACAATCGTCCTCCTGTCCTAGCGCAATCATTCATGTGAATCCACACCAAAGGGGGGGAAGCACTGGACTCGAGTTTCGCCCTGGTTAGAGCTCATCACCACATAACATAACAAAAGTTGCCCAATCCTCCCCCCCGTTGGTGTGGATTCACATGAATAATTGCTCCAGGACAGGAGGACGATTGTTCAAAACGAGAGTGATGTGAAACTAAATGATAGGATTAAATACCACGTCATCATGTTTGTTCCGCTAGGAAATACTGACCATAACTACGAACCATTCCGAAGATACAGCGTGTGAAAGAGCGGTGTTCCTAGGTGACGACTTCGTACGCAACACCGTCCAAGCTACCATTCTCCGAATGCGATTAATTACAGACGTAGTACGATACTCTTAAGTTGGCCAAGTAATGTTTGACTTTGTGAGTAGTACATTACGTCTGTAAAATGTATTGCGAAACCTCGAATACTGTAGCAACTGAAACACCAGGCGGCCTGGTGCAAGAAATTCCGTCGAGAAAAACACCATAAACGAAAGATTTAGCTGGGTTCCAGGTGATTATCCCATAAAAACCAAGTTGTTAAGCAAATAAATGTATGACTAAAAAACTAAATGTATGTTTAGCGAGGTACACTCATTTGCAAACAAATTTGGTTTTGCGAGAGACTCACCTGGAACGTGGCTAAATCTCTCGTTTGTGATGTTGCATGTTCCAGTTGCTACGATATTCGTGGTACATGTATCTTCGTAATGCACTACTCATAAGGTTGCTGAAAATTCTTCGTCTGCCTCTAATAAACGGCCTACATCTGGTTGGCTGCGCTGCAAGCCCTAAATCAACAGTCTGCAGATGGATTTGCTACTCTGCTTTCAATAGAAATTCAACGGTAACCAATATTAGACGTGGCGATAACTTATTTCCTTTGTCAATCACTGGCCACTAGCAATTAGTTATTGAAGACTTGAGGTTCGTTTTTAGAGCCCCGAGGATTAGGGCAGATACCTAGGTCAGTGGGTCCAAATTCGTTTGCGTATCATGACTGTTCCACTCCGATTAGTGATCCCCCTCTTTCAAAAAAAGCATTTCATAAGGATTTAGTCCTGTCAGTGAAGCCACTTTGTGCTGAAGAGCGGAGAAGCACTGTACAGCTGTTTGGGAATCATCTACAATGCCATTCAGATGACTCAAACCTGCTTCAACAAGAACTCTCCTTAAGGCGCTTCTTGTTTGGGCTACTCGGTTAACTTTGCCTACGGAAAACCTTCTCCTAAAAAGCATATGTTTGACCTTTTTTGCGCAGAATGTACAAGCAATACTAGGAAAGCTGGTTCAAGGCATTCAGTCCTTCGGCATGTGCTTTGTAGCCACATGGTACAAGGTCACGTTGAGGGACGTACAGTCTTTGAACATGTCTCCGAGAGGTCAAGGAGTGACACTGGAAGTTGTGCAAAACCATAGGCATCTCGGAAGTTGCACTAGCTTTGAAGGTAGTGGATAAGAAGGAGTCAACTCCCGAATATCGAAGATGACTTGTCCCTCATAGAAGCCCTACACCTGCCACTGGCAGGTGACTTTAACACTTCAAAGACCTCCTGTATGGTATTCTAGCAGGTCAGGCCTATTGAGCACTTCGCATCAACACTGACTCAAGTTGTGCAGCAGGTTTGGGCCCAGCACATCAGCGCAACTACCAAAAACCAGTCGGGAGAAATGCCATTCTTACAGGATATCGTTATTGACAAGTTCCATATGTCCGTTCGCGCCACATGCGGCCTCGTTTAAACAGTCCTGTCCTAGCGCAATCATTATGGTGAGTCCACCCGAAAGGGAGGGAAACAACTGGACTTGAGCTTCGCTCATATTAGGACTCATCAGCATTGCACATCCTCGGCCGTGGCAGGGTTTGAACTCCACACATCTGACATGTTACCAGCACTCCCCCAGTGCGCGCTGAACGCGTCTGAATTTTCATAACCTGAACAGTGAACATATTCGTGCTTGAGTGATGTGAGTCGTAAACCTCGAACGACGACATGACTCAAAAACGCAAACATTCTCACCTGTTTATACGTGAAAATTCAGGGGTGCCCAGCGTGTGCTGGTGAAGTATTGGTAACACGCTCACCTCGCATGTCGGTTGTGGGGAGTTCAAACGCTGGCATGGCCAAGGATATGCACTGCTGATGAGCTCCAATAAGAGCGAGATTCTAGTCCTGTGCTTATCCCCTCTGGTGTGGATGATTGCGTCGGGACAAAAGAACGACTGTTCAAGCGAGAGTGATGTGCGCTTGCATTCTACAAATTCCGCAACCATTCACAACCAAATAGTTGGGTCTCAAATGATATATATATATCAGACTACAATGCTGGATACTTGTTATACGGTTGCAAGACTTGGCCTCTTTGAGTGGAGGATCTGAAACATCTTCGGGTATTGGACCACCGATGCCTCAGAACTATGGCTGGAGTCTGCTGGAACCAAAGAATTCGGAGTGAAGTGATCACAGTACATGTTTTTGTTGAAGCAGACGGTAATTCACGTGAAGAATGCATGCAGGACTGCAAGACGGTGTGGTTGGGTCGCTTGATATGCGTGTCAGTTTGCCGCCTACCTAGGACGGCGATGTTCTCCTCGGCGGAAACCCACAGGTGGACGAAATATGAAATGGCAGAAAAAAACAAAAGATGATGCGAAACGTCTGGGCGCCCTTGGTACTGTTCCCTATCCAGGATGGGGTCCACGTAGCCCTCCTGGTGCCTGGCTGGAGACAGTGAACGATATGACGGGTAAGTGATGTCATTGGCGCACACGATGTCAATATCTATTCAAACTGTCTGATTGAGTGTTCAAGGTCCAGGTACCTCGAATGTTTGTTGGTGATGATGATGATGATGATGATAATGATGATGATGATGATGTTGTTGTTGTTGTTGTTGTTGATGAT